AGTACATACATACAATAAAAAAGAGCATCTAACTGGGTGTGCCGTTCTATTACAATTTAAGGGGCAGGCCCGGTAGGCTCATCATTCACAGGTCACCATCTCCCAGCCAAAAATTAACTAAAATAAGCCCTAAACTACATACATACAATAAAAAAAGAGCATCTAACTGGGTGTGCCGTTCACCTACAATTTAAGGGGCAGGCCCGGTAGGCTCATCATTCACAGGTCACCATCTCCCAGCCAAAAACTAACTAAAATAAGCCCTTAACTACATACATACAATAAAAAAAGAGCATTTGACTGGGCGTGCCGTTCACCTACAATTTAAGGGGCAGGCCCAGTAGGCTCATCATTCACAGGTCACCATCACCCAGCCAAAAATTAACTAAAATAAGCCCTAAACTACATACATACAATAAAAAAAGAGCATTTGACTGGGCGTGCCGTTCACCTACAATTTAAGGGGCAGGCCCGGTAGGCTCATCATTCACAGGTCACCATCTCCCAGCCAAAAATTAACTACAATACAAAGTGTACATGTAGGCCCTAACCTAAATACATTCATACATACTATAAAAAAGAGCATTTGACTGGGTGTGCTGTTCACCTACAATTTAAGGGGCAGGCCTGGTAGGCTCATCATTCACAGGTCACCATCTCCCAACCAAAAATTAACTACAATACATGTACATATAGGCCATAACCTAAATACATTCATACAGTACATACAATAAAAAAGAGCATTTGACTGGGCGTGCTGTTCACCTACAATTTAAGGGGCAGACCCGGTAGGCTCATCATTCACAGGTCACCATCTCCCAGCCAAAAATTAACTAAAATAAGCCATAAACTACATGTATACAATAAAAAAAAGAGCATCTAACTGGGTGTGCCGTTCACCTACAATTTAAGGGGCAGGCCCGGTAGGCTCATCATTCACAGGTCACCATCTCCCAGCCAAAATTAACTAAAATAAGCCCTAAACTACATACATACAATAAAAAAAGAGCATCTAACTGGGTGTGCCGTTCACCTACAATTTAAGGGGCAGGCCCGTTAGGCTCATCATTCACAGGTCACCATCTCCCAGCCAAAAATTAACTAAAATAAGCCCTAAACTACATACATACAATAAAAAAAGAGCATTTGACTGGGCGTGCCGTTCACCTACAATTTAAGGGGCAGGCCCGGTAGGCTCATCATTCACAGGTCACCATCTCCCAGCCAAAATTAACTAAAATAAGCCCTAAACTACATACATACAATAAAAAAAGAGCATCTAACTGGGTGTGCCGTTCACCTACAATTTAAGGGGCAGGCCCGTTAGGCTCATCATTCACAGGTCACCATCTCCCAGCCAAAAATTAACTAAAATAAGCCCTAAACTACATACATACAATAAAAAAAGAGCATCTAACTGGGTGTGCCGTTCACCTACAATTTAAGGGGCAGGCCCAGTAGGCTCATCATTCACAGTTCACCATCTCCCAGCTAAAAATTAAATCAAATAAGCCCTAAACTACATACATACAATAAAAAAAGAGCATTTGACTGGGCATTTGACTGGGTTCACCTACAATTTAAGGGGCAGGCCCAGTAGGCTCATCATTCACAGGTCACCATCTCCCAGCCAAAATTAACTACAATAGGCCCTAACCTAAATACATTCATACATACTACAAAAAAGAGAGCATTTGACTGGGCGTGCCGTTCACCTACAATTTAAGGGGCAGGCCCGGTAGGCTCATCATTCACAGGTCACCATCTCCCAGCCAAAAATTAACTAAAATAAGCCCTAAACTACATACATACAATAAAAAAAGAGCATCTAACTGGGTGTGCCGTTCACCTACAATTTAAGGGGCAGGCCCGGTAGGCTCATCATTCACAGGTCACCATCTCCCAGCCAAAAATTAACTAAAATAAGCCCTAAACTACATACATACAATAAAAAAAGAGCATTTGACTGGGCGTGCCGTTCACCTACAATTTAAGGGGCAGGCCCGGTAGGCTCATCATTCACAGGTCACCATCTCCCAGCCAAAAACTAACTAAAATAAGCCCTAAACTACATACATACAATAAAAAAAGAGCATTTGACTGGGCGTGCCGTTCACCTACAATTTAAGGGGCAGGCCCGGTAGGCTCATCATTCACAGGTCACCATCTCCCAGCCAAAATTAACTACAATAGGCCCTAACCTAAATACATTCTTACATACTATAAAAAAGAGCATTTGACTGGGCGTGCTATTATTCACAGGTCACCATCTCCCAGCCAAAAATTAACTACAATACATGTACATGTAGGCCCTAACCTAAATACATTCATACAGTACATACAATAAAAAAGAGCATTTGACTGGGCGTGCTGTTCACCTACAATTTAAGGGGCAGGCCCGGTAGGCTCATCATTCACAGGTCACCATCTCCCAGCCAAAAATTAACTAAAATATGCCCTAAACTACATACATACAATAAAAAAAGAGCATCTAACTGGGTGTGCCGTTCACCTACAATTTAAGGGGCAGGCCCGGTAGGCTCATTATTCACAGGTCACCATCTCCCAGCCAAAATTAACTAAAATAAGCCCTAAACTACAAACATACAATAAAAAAAGAGCATCTAACTGGGTGTGCCGTTCACCTACAATTTAAGGGGCAGGCCCGGTGGGCTCATCATTCACAGGTCACCATCTCCCAGCCAAAAATTAACTAAAATAAGCCTTAAACTACATACATACAATAAAAAAAGAGCATTTGACTGGGCGTGCCGTTCACCTACAATTTAAGGGGCAGGCCCAGTAGGCTCATCATTCACAAGTCACCATCTCCCAGCCAAAAATTAACTAAAATAAGCCCTAAACTACATACTTACAATAAAAAAAGAGCATCTAACTGGGTGTGCCGTTCACCTACAATTTAAGGGGCAGGCCCGGTAGGCTCATCATTCACAGGTCACCATCTCCCAGCCAAAAACTAACTAAAATAAGCCCTAAACTACATACATACAATAAAAAAAGAGCATTTGACTGGGCGTGCCGTTCACCTACAATTTAAGGGGCAGGCCCGGTAGGCTCATCATTCACAGGTCACCATCTCCCAGCCAAAAATTAACTAAAATAAGCCCTAAACTACATACATACAATAAAAAAAGAGCATCTAACTGGGTGTGCCGTTTACCTACAATTTAAGGGGCAGTCCCGGTAGGCTTATTATTTACAGGTCACCATCTCCCAGCCAAAATTAACTACAATACAAAGTGTACATGTAGGCCCTAACCTAAATACATTCATACATACTATAAAAAAGAGCATTTGACTGGGCGTGCTGTTCACCTACAATTTAAGGGGCAGGCCCGGTAGGCTCATCATTCACAGGTCACCATCTCCCAGCCAAAAATTAACTACAATACATGTACATGTAGGCCCTAACCTAAATACATTCATACATACAATAAAAAAGAGCATTTGACTGGGCGTGCTGTTCACCTACAATTTAAGGGGCAGGCCCGGTAGGCTCATCATTCACAGGTCACCATCTCCCAGCCAAAAATTAACTAAAATATGCCCTAAACTACATACATACAATAAAAAAAGAGCATCTAACTGGGTGTGCCGTTCACATACAATTTAAGGGGCAGGCCCGGTAGGCTCATCATTCACAGGTCACCATCTCCCAGCCAAAATTAACTACAATAAGCCCTAGTCTACAGTACATAGACACAATAAACTAGATGGAATTTTGACTGCGCGCAGTCGAAAATGATGCCTCCGCCATAGAGCAATTTAAACAAGTTTGGAGTTTAAATCTCCAGTGGTTCTTGAGATATTATGATAACAATCTCAATGTATGGAATTTCATAAGTTGACCTCTGTGACCCTTGACCTTTGACCTACGTGCTCCAAAATCTAATCAGATCGTCTTCCTATGGTGATACATACTATCCTTAAGTTTGAAGTTTTTACATCTCCAGTGGTTCTTGAGATATCATAACAATCTCAATGTATGGAATTTCATAAGTTGACCTCTGCGACCCTTGACCTTTGACCTACGTGCTCCAAAATCTAATCAGATTGTCTTCCTATGGTGATACACACGATCACTAAGTTTGAAGTTTAAATCTCCAGTGGTTCTTGAGATATCATGATAACAATCTCAATGTATGGAATTTCATAAGTTGACCTCTGTGACCCTTGACCTTTGACATACGTGCTCCAAAATCTAATCAGATCGTCTTCCTATGGTGATACATACTATCCTTAAGTTTGAAGTTTAAATCTCAAATGGTTCTTGAGATATCGCGCTAACAAACTCCAAACAAGGAATTTCATAAGTTGACCTCTGTGACCTGTGACCTTTGACCTACGTACTCCAAAATCTAATCAGATCGTCTTCCTATGGTGATAAATACTATTCCCGAGTCTTAAGTTTAAATCTTAAATGGTTCTTGAGATATTGTGATAACGGTCAAACGGGACGGACGTACGGACGGACAACCCAAAAAAACATGATGCCTCCGGCACCACCTTCGGTGGCGGAGGCATAAAAAGATGTTGTAGTGCCCTTTAGGCGCCAAAACATGGGTCTGTCGGTCGTTGGCCTCCCTCTTTGAGCTGATATTTTTCAGTTTTGACTGCTTTAATTATTTTTTCTTAGAAAAAAAAACGGTTTAAAAAAAAAGAAAGCTTTTTTAAAAAGCCGACCGTAGATTTCAAGAGTTTTGGGTCGGTCGCAAAGGGCAATACAACATCTTCTTTTTATTCCTTACATGTAGTCTTGCTGAAGAAAGCAAGCGAATGGTTACTCATATATAAGCCTCCAGACAAATGTATTTTTCAAAACTTTTTTTCATTTCTTGTCATGTCTTGAATAATACGGTTATATTAACATTTAACATCAATCCGTTTTATGAGACATTTCAACTGGCGTCAAAGAATGAGAAAAGGCAGGAATTCTATTTCATCCTTACCAGAAATCCCTTCTCATTAAAGTGACTTACCAACTACTGTTGCAACAATCACACACTCTGCTGTATTCCCTGAAGCGTCTGTGGCAGTGACCGTGATGTTGCGGCTTCCAATAGGCAACTGACCCGGAACAAAATCTGTTTCCACTGTAACCTCTCCTGAGTTATCTGTTGCCGTTGGACTAGTCCAGGATATGATCCCAAAAGCTGCCCCAGCCTCTGTCTCTGCCGTGACATCGTCGGGACAGACAAGGACAGGAGGTTCTTCATCTGAGTGATAGTAGCAAGAGGAAATGAACTCCAAATACTGAATACAAGTCATTTGATATCTGATATATAATTTCTGAATTACTATCTTAAAGGGAAATCCAACCCAAATAGACAACTACTAGTAATCTAAAAGAGAGCAGAAAAATCAGAGAAATCTGACTAAATATACGAAGGTTATGAATTTTTGAAACTTGTAATGACTATACGTATGGGTATGGGGGGGGGGGGGGGGGGGGGGGTAAGCGGACACTTTTTTTTTTTTTTTTTTGGAGTCCAAAAAAAAAATCGCAACGACTGAGCCAGCCGAAAAGTCGCTCAGTGGGATGGGGGGGGGGGGGGGGGGGGGGGGGGGGGGTTAGTGAGCACATTTTTTTTGGGGGGGGGGTCCTCGAAAATTTTAAAATTTGCACCCCTCCCTTGAGCTCCGGGGGGGGGGGGGGGGCCCAACCCCCAAAAAGGTAAAAATCGCATGATTTTGCATGATTTTTTTTGTCAAGGGGGGGGGGGGCTGGGCCCCCAGGGCCCCCCCCCCCTGGATCCGCCACTGTACTGAGCATTTCAAGAGCAGTGAATCTCGAACGACCGCACCAAAATTTCCTGTGTGTGAATGATGTTGTGTCCGGACACTTTTTGCCAAAAAAGCAATTATGTATACCGGTCCCTCTTTTTGGAATGGTTTGGATTCGGAGGTTACGGAAGCACCATTGCTAAATTGCTTTAAATGCAAACTTTGAGTTTTTCTTTTAAGTTCTTACATCTAATATAATTTGTTTGTCCTCCCCAGTCATACATATAAATGCTAACAGACTAAAACTAACTAAACAACTGAGAAAATACAAACATTATTATAATAATCTGACTACCGGTACTAAATAACGGCTATAACAAGAGAAACTGGGAAATACTACGAGCAACAGGACTGAAACACAGACAAAAACTAAACAAGACAATATCATTATCAAACTCAAACAACAGTGATAAACTGATACTGATAGTGATACATGCAGTTGTGAGGTGGTCGAGAACTCGAAATCAACGACAGACAGATCCTGTGAGAGGGCCAAGCAAAGAGTCTTTATTAGTAGTAACCAGTAGCAGACACATTCGAATCACTAATGCCGATAATCATGGAGATCATGCATTCCCCAAAACATGTCATGTTATCAAATATTAAACGAGTAAATTTGCCCTTTAAAAACCAATTGCCACAGTACAATATAGCTGAAACTCTCAACATTAACACAGGTAAATACCTGACCCAAATACTTAAACAACTAGAAGTAACAGTCGATATAAACCTCATATAAAGCAACACATTCATATATTTATCTTCCATACTTTTCTTACTTCCAAGCAAACTCCAATAATCTCCTGGTCTAACCCTAAACATTGCTCTTACTCCTATTATTCCATCTCAATTTAACATGTAACAATATTCTTTTATAGCAATCTGCAAAATAAGAAATAAGGTTTACAATGATAGAGGGCGCTAGAAACCCTGAAATGGCTACATAGTAATTAATACCCCCTAGCTTAGCAACCAAAATACAAACAACATGCAATACTTTTAAACACTCAACTTCTATTATAAGCACTTCTTTTCTATGCTCCCTACCGTTCTTACTGACTTCATTCCTAAACCAAGACTTATACTCATCACATCAATTAGAGCGTACCCTGGTCCTGGTCCTGGCCCTGGGACCAGGCACAACATTAGCGCGCACGCACTACACCCAATTTTGGTACCGCGCGTTCAACTTATTAGTGTACATAACCATATACTACAATGTAAATGCATATAACAAATCAAAGCACTAAGCATCACACAGTTTAACATTAAATCCTCGTTTCCAATATAATCATATCGACCCACATGATACATCAAAATAACTACTGAAATCGTTCTAACACAATACACGTATGTACATAACACATATTTAGCATAACAACATTAATATTTACTAAACATAAAAGTGGTTCAAGTTTGGTCAACTCACCTGTGAGAGGGCCAAGCAAAGAGTGCCGGCTTGTCTCAGCACTCCGCCCTCTACAGGTCACAGGGTAATTTCCTAACCCCTTACACAGTGATAGTCTGATACGTCTTTAGTGATAATGTGTACATGTAGAATTTTGAGAGGAAAGTTCCTGCACGACTTTGTCATATAAAGGGCCAACTCTAGCTGGTACATCAAAATGGGTAAATGCCTAGCAGTATACACCCGTCGCTACCACACCAGTTTCACGGCACCTACATGCACACTACCACTACCAGCGGTGATCACACTTGCTCGTTCCCGATCCACCTGGCTCATGCGTTATGAACAGGCTTAGCTAGACTAGTTTACTACAGTAAAACAGTTACAATACTCGAATTACTCAATATTACTCAATATTATGTTTTACTTTACCCTTCGAGTGACAGTGGACCAACCAAAGTAAAACAAAATCAAAACTGTAAGAAAATGGAAGAAAGATTCCGGCTTCTGGGCTCTGACACTGCAGGATAAATAAAGCAGACGACCCGCCTGCGCCTGTATAAACATTGCGATCGTTATCGATATCGACACACGTACGCAGATTAGTCTTGTCAAAATTCCGCTTTACGTACGTACAAACGCAAACGTACACTGCCGATTAAATATGCATGCCCTTCGATTATTTTTTTTAAACATACACGCATGAAAGTCAGGCTACATTTGGCGTCTACTGTAGTATTGCGTTTTTCTGATTGGTTGAAATTAGAAGTATAGGGTGGTAATAGAATTGAGAAAATGACATTATCGGCATTCACTCTCCGGCTTTTTTTGGCTACGCATTCACCCAAAATACCATATTTAAAAAAAATGTACATAGTCACATGTTTGCAAATGTCTTGCTCTTTCAATCAAATACCCTTTTTTTCAATTCCATAACCAGTTTAACTATAAACCAAAGAATACGGTATACTGTTTTAGTTTTAAGTCTGCAAACCTCCCCGAAAATTAATCAGTCATGTAACTAAATGGCTTATACTATCATAATTATGCGTAAGCAACGGAGTTAGCCTACGTTAGGCCCAGGTTTTGCCACTTGATGCCCATAGTACATCCGGCCTCGAGCTGGACTTTGTTGCGTGAAAAGCACCCCTTCATCGGAGATTTTTGGAACATGAATGCGATCCCTCCGTTCCCAGGGTAGGGGGGGGGGGGGGTCAGACAGGAACAATTTCCGTAATAGTATGCTAATTCAAGTAAAATCATTATACGATATAGGGTCTAGTATTACTCTCAATTATTTGTGCAGAAGCGACGAAAGGAAGAAGGGTGACACTAAATTATTAAGCAACCAAACAATAGGCCTACATTATCGTGGCTGCCCGCAAGAATGGTGTTACAGCCACCATTGCAGGCACGTAGCCAGGGGGGGGGGGGCACGTGCCTCCCCCCCCCCCCAAAAAAAAAAAAAAATAAATAAATAAATCCAAGATCGGTCGAACATTTTTAGACCCTTTTTTTAACCTCGATCGATTACATGTATGTGCCCCCACAAATACATCAAACTCTGGCTACGTGCCTGCACCATTGACAGTGCATTATGATTGTCGATGGCAGTATAACGGCCTTCTCGCTGGCAGCCGACGATGTATCTCGAGCTAGCTCCAGCCTATGTACTGGCAGATTAAGCTGTACTTGTGTCAATTGTATAATATTGTCAGGTTAAAGCCGGGGTCAGTAGGGTCTCTGCCTTGGGTAAATGTCAGTTATTCTATCTGATTTCCCAGAATATGCTATAAATTATGTATAGCATATATTATATGAATTTTGAGTGAATGAACTCATTAAATAGGAGCCTATAGGCTACATACTGCAGCACGACCCAAAACCTGGAGGAAAAAAATATTACGGGCGATGGAAGGAATGCAGAAGAAATGTTAGAAAAGTTAGATGAAAATTCTTAGCGTACCTAAATTTCTCCTTGTACTGTCTTCCTTATTGTGACATAACTTCAAAAAGGTCTCTAAAAATTAAGGTCTCGGTCGGAAATTGAGCCCATTTTGTCCAACGGCAGAACGTTCAAATTATGCAATATATATCAGTATGCCATGCAGGGGCGTACGCAGGATTTTTTCAAGAGGGGGGGGGGGGGGGTTAAAATCTGGCCCAAAATATTTTGCTCCCGAAAATTTGAAAATCGCGCCGGCCGAAAAGTCGCTCAGTTGGGGGGGGGGGGGGGGGATAAGCGGACACTTTTTTTTTTTTTTTTTTTAATTAAAAAAAAACAAAAAAAAACAAAGGGGGGGGGGTTTAGTTTTTTAGGGGGGGGTTACACACATAAAAATACCAAAGGGGGGGTTGAACCCCCAAACCCCCCCCCCCCCCCCCCCCCCCCCCCCCCCCCCCCCCCCCCCCCCCCCCCCCCCCCCCCCCCCCCCCCCCCCCCCCCCCCCCCTGCGTACGCCCCTGATGCCATGTATAAAACAATAAGGCCTTACAATTCGGCTGTGCCAGGCCTACGTTAAATATCTGCACGAAGGAATATCGATCACGGAGGCGGGTTGCGTGATGTGATCGGCTCCACCCTTTTATATACGCAGCACAATTACCAAAATACAGCTAACCTCTCTCAAACCTCTCAGCATAGTTTATTTATTTTTATTTATTACGGAAAAGGTATCATTGAACATTGGCTTGTCGCCAACCACATGTGCACAAAATGCGAGGAAGAGAGACGAATGGTATTAGTGTCAAAATTAACATCTATCACAAACCTGGAGTTTTTGTGGAAGGAGCAATCGTTGTTGCGGGTGTTTCAGTGACTGCTGTTGTTTCGACGTCAACAAAAACTGTTGATAGAAATAAAATACAAAGTTATTATAATCATACTTTAGGGGCATTATAGCAACATAAATTCATGACCGAGGTCAGAATGGACTCGCCTTCTTCTTCTTCTTCTTCTTCTTCTTCTTCTTCTTCTTCTTCTTCTTCTTCTTCTTCTTCATTATCTCCTTCTCCACCTAAACCTCTTCCTCTTCATCCTCGTTATCCTCCTCGTCCTTTCATCATCTTTCACCTCCACCTCCCCGACATCGACGTCCTCTTTCTTCTTATCAGTTTTCTCATTCTCTCTCTCTCTCTCTCTCTCTCTCTCTCTCTCTCTCTCTCTCTCTCTCTCATCTCTCTTTCTCTTTATTGTACATATTTCCCATTATCACCGTAAACATAAAAAGTCGTCAGCTTAGCATAATATTGTATTATGTGTTTTAATAAACATAACCAACAAAATAGAAACTTTGTATTGCAAACATCAGCTAACATACAGACAGTATCTAATATAAATCCTGAACTACGTATACGACGTGTAAACCATAATATATATATTGCTTTTCTAAGTGTGTACCCTAATATGTGTACAGTGTTCAGTATTGGATTAATTTAACATAACATGGTAGAACATTCAGGCACATGCTAAAAAAACATGGGTCATTAAAAAAAAGAATAAGAAAAACATGAGCTCCTTACCATCTGTCACCGAAAGTGTCGTCGAATCGACCCCGAGTGTGGTGAGGTCGCCATTGTCGTCGGCAATCTGAATGATCTCCTTAATGGAGACTTCGACCTGTCCTCTGACCGAGTTGATCTGGTCATCGATGCTCCCGACACCCGATGACAGCGTCGTCGAACCCGTGACTGTCGGCGCTGTCGGCGCTCGTATCAGGTTGATGGTGAAGTTCACGATGACACTCCCTTGACTGTAAACATATCAAATCAGACCTTTTTTTGTATAAATGCTCTGCTCTTCAAAATTTGCCCAGTGATGAAATCCACCAGCTGGAACTAGTTAGCACGCCTGTATTTTGTTATTCTATCCCCCATTTCTAACATTCAATCTTTCCCCCTTCAATCCCAAACAGCTTAAAAACTGTGGCAGCTTAAAAAAACATATCAAATTGTTACTTTTGAATTCGTACGTGTAATGCACATCTATACTTATAGTATATGTTCAAGGTCGGGAGTCACAGTCGGAAAAAATAGTCTATTTTTTTCCCGACTGTGACTCCCGACCTTGAACACTTTATTCTAAAACTCCCTTTTCTCTCTTCTAATTCTCCTTCTGACCCCCATTCTTTACCTTCTCTTCCTAAGTTCATATTTCTCTTCTTTCTTACACCCATTATCCATATGACTTCATTGTTTTTGTCTGCATACTTTGCTTTTAATTATTATACCTCTACCTTACTATGAATGACACTGTGTCAAAATTATTTTGAGGAACTTAAATTCTACAAGCTATGCTTCTTATTAAGTTCCTTTTTTTCACATGTAATTTCGAAATTATTTAGTGTCATACAAACTTATCCTGTGTAGATGTCTTTATTGTACACGAATGTCAATTTTGTAAATATGCTATGTTTTGTTAATGTATTATATTTTTTCATGTGAAATAAAAGAAACTAAACCATAAAAAAACAAATCTCTCTCTCTCTCTCTCTCTTTCGCTCTCTCTCTCTCTCTCTCTATCTCTCGCCTTGTAGCGTATTATCCAAAACAGCACTTTCCCCCATTTAATTTGTTTCCAATAACGTTGTCATTTTACATCCTTCTTTGCTAACAGAAGAGCGGTAGGCCAAATTAGAAAATAAATCTACATATGAATCATCTTCATGGTGGGGGGGGGGGGGGCGGGGGGGGGGGAGGGCATTGAAAGCAATCACTATCTAGGATACGGCATGGAACAATTGCCCCGAATTCATGAATTATATTATAATCAGTGCATAATAACTTCCGACTTACGTGAATCCGTTGACAACTGTACCATTGTAGATGTCACTTAGATCGCTGTTCAAAAACACTGCATCCATCTATACCAATGATTTTTTTTTTAGGAAAAAAAAATAGAGAGATGAGAATAGAGATATAAAGAGAGAGAGAGAGGGGGTGTATGGGCAGGGCCGTAGCAAGAGTTTGATGTTTGGGGGCACATACATGTAATCGATCGACGTCCTGGGGAGGGGTCTAAAAAGTTCAACCGATCTTATCAATTGCAATCCGCACTCCAATTTTTTTGATTTTTGTGCACTACTAAATGTCTAATCACTTTTGATTTGATTTGATTTGATTTATTTATTTCTGTTTGATTTTCTTTTTCTTTTGCATTTTTACAAATATATAACAAACAAATATTGCAAATTTACACATGACAAAAGAATATATGTAGAATAAAGTAAGGCTGGGTGTAACTAATCGAGAACATCAAACAGGAGGGTTTGATAGTATGACTACCCTCAAAGGATACATAATAATACAAATATGGAGGAACAAAAATATTGGTAAAAGGGGGAAAAGACAGAAAAAAGAAGAGAAAAGTTAATATTAAATATATACCGAGATACTGGCCAAAAGTAGAGGGAAAAGATATCTATACAACAACAAATTTATTTCACACACTACATAACTCAATAAAATTGATATTAACTTGAAGGTATTTTTATTATCCATCTTTTGACATCACTGAGATCCATGGTAATTAAAGGTTTTACTTATAGGTTATCTTTAAAACTCGATGTAAACACACCAGACACGTCCTCAAGACACATGTGGGCAAAACTGTCTTTTGTGGAAATCAAATCAATACCTTTGGGTTGCTATAACTTTTCACTGAAAAGAAATATAAGCTGATCCTTCGCACAGGATATTATCCTTGTATTTCGGCCCTCCGCTTAAACTGAATAAAGTGTATTTACACGACCAAGTCCCTCGTGAGTGCGTGGAATTTGAAGCCCGAACCCTTGGCAACCCCCCCCCCCCCCATCCCTACTCTCACTTCGAATAAGAGGGGTGCCGTATTAACATTACGCCGCCATCACTATAAATGATGTTCAAATAATATTGTTTATTCGAAGATGTTTGGCAATATCACATAAAAATACATAAAACTAAGGTTTTTTCAAACTTTTGTTTGTTATTATTATTTAAGTTGAAGAATAGTAAAACCATTCTCTCTTATTATAGCTGGGGAGGGGGTTTAGAGGGGGAATTTAACAAACAAACAAGCAACAAAAAATCGGACCACTGTCAGGTCAAACCAATTGTTAACCAATTCAAAACTTGTCTTGAGACACATTTGATTTTTTGATGATTAACTTACTCTGTTCACATTGATTTGTATTTCATATGTATTGTAATTTGTAGGTTTATTTACACTTTTTTGTTTTGTTTAATATGTGATCGTTTATGAGTCTATTTTTTTGTTATAGCGCTTAGAAACTTCGGTGGTAAGCGCTTTATAAGTAACGTTTTAAATATCATTGTTATTATTATTATTATTATTATTATTATTATTATTATTATTATTATTATTATTATTATTATTATGCAGAAAAAACTCTTTGTCTCATCCCGAGCATAATTACACAAACACACACAAAGAAACAAAAGGATGAACCTGCGTCGGATCCACTAACCGTGTTTGTGAAGGTTTGAGAAAGCTCTTGGTATTGAGGCGATAAGTCGTTGTTGTAGGCAGGAACAAAGGCTCGATTCGATAACTTCACTGTTGCGTCCAGTTCTACTCCAACTGCAAAAAGAATGGGTAAAGCTCTCGAATTATTCACTGGTTCATGATTTGTAGCGTACTATGTATGTTAGAAGCCCGAAAGAATCTCTCTCTCTCTCTCTCTCTCACACACATACACGCACACAAACATTCCCTCTGTATATATATGTTCTTCTCTTACCCCTCTCTCTCTCTCTCTCTCTCTCTCTCTCACACACACACACACACACACACATTCCCTCTGTATATATTTGTTCTTCTCTTACCCCCACACTCTCTCTCTCTCTCTCTCTCTCTCTCTCTTTCTTTCTCTCTGTGCGCATGCGCTTGATATTCCGATCTACTTATTGTGATAATCCCATTAATTTGAAAAATCGCCAGTCTCCCGTTTAATATCTTTAATTTTGCACAATTTGTTTTCTTTTTATAACCACAAACAAACACGGGGAAACGAATAATGATAAATTAAGTCATACTCACCAACTACAGCCATTACTGGTCTAGGAGTGACAGGTACATACGGTTGGACTGCGAGAGAATAACATGAATCGTTATTGTGTCTGGTTCATATATATATATATATATACCATTACTGTAAGCATTTTTATTGGATTTTGATTTTTTTTTTTTTTTTAATTTATTTATTTACATAATCATGGTCTATTCTGAAAACACTTCTTTTAATTAACTGTACCGTAAATCTAAGCATATCAGGAGCTCTTGTAGCGCAGTAGAATATATACCTAATGTTGGATAGTTTCTGCGCTTTATAAATGTACTATTATTATTATTATTATTATTATTATTCCGGATGTACTTAGCAGACTGATTAAAACACAATAAACAGAATACGAATGATACATTTTCAAAGTCAAGAAATTACACGATTAGTATTAAGATAAAAGAATCTTTAAAAAAAGCTCCCACATAATAATTGTTATACGCACAAGAGGAATATTGGGCAAAACACTTTCCGTTATACTTCACAAATCCACGAAGGATGGGGTTGAAATGAGATATACACGTATTTGTTCCAGACCAGGGCCCCGTCTTATAAAAAGTCGATATCAATCCCAACTTATTTGCGATTGATATCAATCGCAACTATGTACATAAGAGACAGGGGACTGCAAACTTGCGATTGAATCGAGGACGTTACGATTAATCTAAATCAATCGCAACTCTTTCTAAGACTGGGCCCTGTTCAGAGGAGAAAAAACTGCCCTGAACATATTTCACAAGCAGCCTTTGTGTATCACTTGTGAAACGGTTGTCGTAGAAAACGTGCGTCTAAAAAAGCTTATAATTTGAAATTCTCAAACACATTTAAAAATATTGACTGGTAATGTTGATACCCATGGATTACTGATGGTCTATTCTTAATGACCCGCACAATAATCTGACCAGCCCATTTCTTCTTCTTCTTTTTCCTTCTTCATCTTCTTCTTCTACTACTTCTTCTTCTCTTCTTCTTCGTCTTCTTCTTCGTCTTCTTCTTGTTTTTCTTCTCTTCCTCTTCTTGCAAGTATGCCAATTTAAATATAAAGCCTCCCACTTCGAATAATAAATAATTGTTCACACAGGCACACAATATTGGTGTGCTATGTCATGACATACAGAGAACAAATTCCATTCTTTCGTAAATTGTCTTTCATTAATTGTAATAGAACATGAAAATTCGTAAACCTTTCCACGGCTCTCAACTTTGCTGATATCAGCCAGGACAAATTCGGATTCCTGTCAACTTTGCATTTTGCATCCTTTAACAAAAGGCACGATGGTGGCTATTAATACAAGAAACCCTAAGCTATCCTCGGGTATTTTCTCAAAACAGTTTGAATGTTTATTTGGTGAGACTTTTAAAGTGGAAACTTTGTTGAGACGCGCTGTAAAGACTGACATTAGATCAGTTGACAGCAGACTCAAAGATTCTTCGAAGTACGTTTCATCAAAAGAAAAGAAAACAAATTAAAATTATGTTATATATGCGCATATACCTATACATAAATGCGAGGAAATATAAACGCCCTTAGGGATTTGTCAAGTAATACATACATACACACACACATTATGTCAGTGAATTCGGTTTGAACCAGGGGCGGCCGAGCCCCTGGTTGAGCCCCATAAAAGATATTTCTTAAGCATCATGCTTTGTAGCTTGGTGTGATGGTCTGAAAAATTATTTGCGAGCGAGCGGAGCGAGCAAGGATTTTTTTTAAATATTTGTGAGATCGCAGTGCGAAAAATTACATGTTATAGAGAGGAAAAACCCAATCCTGATGGGGTTATAAGCACATTCTCATAACGGAAGACTGAAAAGGCCTTTGGAAAGTAACATAAGTATATCATCTATAGATGCGTGCTAGCGTAGCGAGCGAGCTTTGGGAGAAATTTCTCTTAGTCGCTTGAAATTTGGGGCGCGTTTAATGATGAGAGGAAAAGGGGACACTTATCAGAAAAGAAAAGAGCATGTGTCAAAGTACAAAGAGTAATCATCAGAGGTGAAAATGGGGCACTTCTTACATCCTCAAAGGGATACTCACCAGGGATGAAAAAAATCAGCCATGAGAATAGGAAATGGGCATTTGTTGATGGAAAAGGGGCCCATTAGACTTTGATAGGGGCATTTATAGGGGGTGAAAAGGGGCATTTATGAAAAGGGGATAGGTCCCTTTTTATTAGAAGGGAAAAGGGGCACGTATTATCGTTAAAAGGGAAATTATCAGAGGTAAAAAAGAGGAACTTATTGCACCTGAAAAGGGGCAATGACCAGATATGAAAAGGGCACTTAAATGAATGTAAAAGGGGCACTTTTAAATAAAGGAAAATCTGCATTAGTTGAAAGAAAATGGGCACCGAACAGATTTTAAAGGGGCAATTATCGGAGGTTAAGGGTGCACTTATATGAAGTGCCGAAAAGGAGTAACTTCTAGTATCTGAAAGGGGTCATTTTCCAAAGAAGGGGCACTTATGAGAAGGGGAAGGGGCTCTTTTTTAATGGGGCAATTATCATTAGGAAAAGGGGCAATAGTTGAAAGAAAATTGTCACCGATCAGATTTTAAAGGGGCATTTATAGGAGGTTAAGGAAGCACTTATCTGAAGTGAAAAGGAGTAACTTCTCGTACCTGAAAAGGGCATTTCCAGGGAAGGGGCACTTATGAGAAGGGGAAGGGGCTTTTTTATGGGGCAGTTATCATTAGGAAAAGGGGCACATGTGAAAATATAAGGTGCGCTTATCCGAGTTAAAATGGGGTTAGTTATTAGAGGTACTATGTCCCATTTGCAGGCAAAAAAAATGAAAAAGTTAAATTCCAACTGCATTTGGAAGATAATACTAATTTAGAACTTCCCTAAAAAAGGTGGGGCTTGAAAATGTCTTCAAGTGGGAAAATAACGACTATTAGTTGTCAAATCGACTATAAGGCTATAGAGCCCAAAAGTAATAGTCTTGATTTTCAGACAATTGTACCGAATGGTCATACGTTTTATGCTGCGCAAAGATTCAATCAGTTTAATCTTGGCCATCACAAGAAGAGGGTTATTGATGTAGACAAATGCTCATGTACCCTTTACAACTCTTTTCATGTATGTTATTACCAAAGAAGAAAAAGCCAGTCACTCACTCAATAGTGTCTGACAGTGAAGTCTAGCAAGTAAACGGGTTTCCTTGCATAATTTGAATATGAGGACACTGCCAACGTTTAAATTTCACAGATAGGACATACATGACATATTGATAATTCCTGCAAAGTTCTACAGCTTTTGAGGTTGGCTGCAAAAGGGACATAGTACCTTTAAAAGGGGAAGGGGCACTTATTACAAAGTAAAAGAGGCACTTCTCAGATCTGAATAGGGCAAGTATCAGAGGTGAAGGGGGAACTAATCAAAAGTGAAACTGAAAATGGACACTTACTGCAAAGGAAAAAGGGAACCTGTCAAAGGGAAATGGGCATGTGTCCAAAAGAGGGGGCACTTATCAAAGTTGAAAAGGGGAAGAGGCACTTTTAAAAATTAATAGGGCGCACTTGTCAAAGTAAAAGGGGCACTATTCCTATGTAAAAAGGGGCACTTCTTACAAAGTTAAAAGGGCACTTTTACTATGTAAAAAGGGGCACTTTTCGAGTGCTTGAAAACGTGGGGGGCACTGTGCCCCCCTGCCCCCCGGGAGAGCCGCCTCTGGTTTAAACTCACGTCCTTCACTATTAACTTATCTCCAAGGTTATATATAATTATGTTAAATGGAAATTATGCATAATACTACCTGTTGTTGCTGCTGGTGAGGTTGCAGCGAATGGACCTTCATTAAAACAAATCAAAACAAAAGTTGACATTAGAACTAGAATGCATGCATGCGTTTTATACATTCGTGACTTCAAGATTAAAACATCAAGGTGATTTACACTTCCACAAATCACACTTGATGGTGTCAGCTTGTAGTAGTAGTAGTAGTAGTAGTAGTAGTAGTAGTAGTAGTAGTAGTAGAAGTAGTAGTAGAAGTAGTAGTAGTAGAAGTGGTAGTAGTAGTAGTAGTAGTAGTAGTAGTAGCAGCAGAAGTAGTAGAAGTAGTAGTAGTAGTTATAGTAATAGTAATAAGGCTGTGTTTGGCGTGGTATTTTAATTTTTAATTATAATTTTGTTAATTTATATGTGCGAACAATAATTAGATTACACAAGAGGTGACACAGTCAGACCATGGGTTCTAAAGGTAGCGCAATAAGGTATAGACTAGTGAAGTGTGACGTCATCAAAAATCTATTTTTAGAATTTCTCAATTTTTTCTTCATTTTCCGAAAGAGCATAACAAATAATGTCCAAATGTGGAAAGCCAGTTGAAAACGTTAAGTATTGGCTGAGATATGACCATCTGAACAAATAGATTTCCTATAGGAGCGCAGTGTTATACTGCTCTGGACATTATTTGTTATGCTCTTTCGGAAAATGAAGAAAAAATTGAGAAATTCTAAGAATAGATTTGTATAATGTCACAGCTTTGGTATAGAAATTGTCTTTGGAAGACTTTACGAACATGTTATGTAATATCGAGAGAGAAAAAAAAAACACGACAGAGTTACTCACCCAAGAAAAAGAGGATGGCATTGAGACCAGCACCAAGGATTATTAACATGCACAGGATAATAAGAACAATAACTGCAACAATCGCCATTTTTCGAGGTCTTTTCCCCTCCATGTGTTTCATCACCGGGAGAGTCGAATGTTGCCTACGAGGTCCAACGTCCGTCGCGTCTTGTCCTGTCGCGGTTGTAACCGGCGGCGAGCCTGGAAGCACATCACGCTTACCATTTGTTTCCATATAAGAGCCAATTTTCCCGTTGATTTTGTTCTTTTTTGGCTCAATTTCATATCGTTGTCGTTCATTTTGCATAATGTTCTTATTAAATGTCAAATTGTCATGGTATGTAGGTTCCTCCCAGTCATCATAATTTGTTGAGCGTTCGTTGTGACGGTTGCCAGGCACAGAACGGCCATTTTTCACGGTGAAAACTGGAGCCGCCGATCTTTCTGGGTCACCATAGTAGTAGTAAATTCTCTAAGAACATGACATAATAACAAAGAATTATAGTTAAAACTTTTAAAAGGATATGACAAGGAGGTAGGATTAGCTTATGTCTAAGCTCATGGGTTGTGATTACGGTTTTGACAAGCAAGCACTCCCTCCCGCACAAATTTCGTGAAATGTTTTCATTTATTTTTTTATAGGAAGACACTCGCAAACGTATGGCTGTCGTTGTTTTTCTCTCCCTCCTAAAGTTAACTAATGAATGATTGAAAGCCTACAAGACAAACATTCTGTATGATTTCAGGAGTATGAATTTTAAAAGGTATAAATGGCTGATTTTTATTAGGAATCCCCTTTCATATAAAAATGTATTTGTTTTACTAAATAGAGAAAGATTGTTTAACCCATTTTTCTCACAATTAGAGGGGAGCTTCCCTCCTAAACCCCAACTTAGGCCTCCCCTTATCTTTAGGCTTGAACTTCCTTAAAAACTGAAGGAATACATGTAAAATGTCTAAACTTAATCAGGGGAAATGATTGGGGGCATATCCCCCCCTTTTTTTTCTTTCAGGAACATCATCCCCTCCCCCAAAAAATGCAAAGTTCTACACGTCAAAACGTACATTTTTCACGCTCTTCTTTTGTTGTTACATTTATTGTAATGCAAATTCTGTTTCCTTTACTTATAAACTATTTTTCTTCTAAACCGCTTAGAGCCAATACGCAATTTGCGGTATAGAAATACCTTATTATTATTATCACTATTATAATATGCAAAGTTATCATACTGCAAAATGCAAATTCTTCTTGTTTGTGTGTGTGTGCGCGTATGTGTGTGTGTATGCGTTTGAAAAAGGGATTGTTCAACTGAATCACTTGGTTGAGAAAGGCCATGTTAAGTCTGTTAAATATTTTATGAACCTCGGTATGAAAGCTAATAATTTGCTTATGATTATTGATATTTATAATGCGATACCCAGGTTATGGAAGGATGATTCAGGGTTTAATACAATTCCTCGAGTTTGATTTTATAAGCTTTAATACTTATTTCCATATTTCAGGTTAAAAAAATACAGTTTTTGTATGTGGGTTCAAGAACAATTTATGATTATTTTATCAAAGCACTGCAACAAACGTATGATTTGCAGGTAAGGGATGGGCAAAATGATTATGATTTTATAGATAAAGAATTAAAAGAAATATTTGATAGACCAAAAATTACTATACTCATTAGAAAACAACGAGAATTTCGATTTAAATTATTGCATGGAGCCATGTATACTAATGAGCATCTTCATAGATTTGGTTTTGTTGGTGATAATTTATGTTCGTTTTGTAAGCAGGAAATAGAAACATACAAACGTTTATTTTTATCTTGCGGGAGCGTTCAAAGGATATGGCAGGCTTCAGTACAACTTTGTGAGTTAGATGATATTAAAGATTTAGAATGGCGAGATATATTTGTTGGGTTGGCAGGAATTTCATATAGAATAAAAATGTGTAATATTATCATTTTCATGGTGAAGTATGTTACATTTATGTCAAGATCGGGGGGCGAGTACCAACTTTAGAAAAGATGAAGAAAAAAAATAATTTAAGTATAGGGATGAGGAAAAGAAAATAACAATTAGAATGGGAAAGCTGGGATCACATTTCTTAAAGTGGGAGCAGCTTAAGATTAATTAAGATTTGTTTTCTTCTCCACCGTGAACCTGTTAAAAATGTAACTCTATTTTGCGGCCTGTATAACTTACTTATTTAGTATATTTGTCTTGAGTTGAGAATGTTAGCAGACATCCACTGAGTGAGTAGTGTGTGTGGGGAGGGGGGGGGTGGGTGGGCGGGGTGTTTGTGTGAGGGAGGGGGCAGGGAGGTGGCAGGGAGGAACAGGCATTGTTCCTTTAAAAATTACCTCCAGATTCGTTTAAGTTTTTTTTTTTACATGTACATTTAAGTGAATAACATTTACGATTGACATATATGGTTTGTATTATACATTTGGAGAAATAAAATAAATGTGTGTGTGTGTGTGTGCGGGTGTGTGTGTGTGTCGCATAGTGGGGGGGGGGGGGGGTTGTTTTATGTTACAACTGATTTCATTTTTTTTATCAAACGTACAAACTATGTAATGAATATGTTTTGAATTCATGTCAAGATGAAAAACAACTTTATTTTATTTCTCAGATTGATTTGTATTGTCTGGAATCAATATTAAAAAATATTAAACAATTATACCCGAATTAGCTCAGCCGTCTCAAAATTCTAAGCACATTGCGCTACTGCCTCGAATCAGGTACTATGGAGTATTATAATTGAGAATTATTGAATTAGATAAGCACTTTCAAATTTCATGCACACTTATTTGCCAACCTGTGTTTAAAGTTAAAGAGGACCAGGCTATCAATAGGTGATGGAATGGGTGGTGATATCGACGCCAACACGAGCAATGCCAGCCCACACGTCATAACAGTAATACTATAATTATGCCTCAGGTATTCAACTTGTGTATTCAACTCAGTGTGTTCTTCTACATCGAGCACTAAAAAGGTATTGTATAAGTTTTTTTTAAATAATAAGAAAATAATTATTCATCCAACAGTGTAGATTTTATCAATGAATTTTGTTACACAAGCAGAGAAGAGAAAAAGAGAATATGGTACAGAAAATATAGAGTTAACGGAATAACTTTAGAATAGCCCACCAGAAAAATTGACTAGATGTTCGTATGGTACCCAACGTTTTACCAATGAAGTTAAATCTGAAGACTTAAGTTTCTTAAGTAACACTGAACCTTATCCTATTTTTAATTTAATATAAAAAGGATTCATTATTGTTAATTTTTTATTTTCATGCTACATATTCATATATGTATATGCAAAATTCAAAGTAAATAAAAGAACCGACAGAACCGATATGCGACACATTCAGAATTATTCGAGTAATGCTATATTTCAACGAGGCCGCAGGTCGAAGTTGAGGTACTGCGACCTGATGTAATTTCTGACTTTGGAGGTGAATATATTTTATATTGCACAACGAAAATACAATATTTGTTATATAAAATTGGGGCTATTTGCGATCCCTGTTCGACAGTCATATAAGTTATAATGCTCATTGGCAAATGTGTCCGTTCAAGAAAATTGCAATCAGTTGACAAAGTTCTCCTGCTAGCTCCAAACGTTCGTACTCAAATGTATGTCTCTCGTGCATTCAAAGAAGATTCTCACCTCTTGAAATTGTCAACATGACCACTTTTGCCCGTTTTATATATTCCTATGTAATGACCTAAAAAATGTTCGTTTTTATAAGACGTACTTAATGTAAAGTATAAATTCACTCAAATATTGTAGCGTGCGATTCCTCCTTGCTTACTCGGTCACTATGTTTCGCTTAGTCCTATGTATTAAATTAGTCTGTATCCTATATCATGGAGTTGTACTTACATCTCGATGCATCTTGACCTCGTTAACTCTTGCTTCCTCTTTAGTTTGAAATATTACAAATAAAAAGTGTGATCCCAATGATCCAAACATTGCCAATGATGAAATCATATACCACTCTGCTATAGAGTCATAATGTCGACTCATATGATATTATTTCCTTATATAGCTGTTTATTTCCTTCCTCCTTTTATCCCGTCAGGTATTCAGGTGGAATGTCGACTGAATGGAGGCTTTTGCCACTGGTGGACAATGCTCACGAGCAGGAGACAAGTGTAAACACTGGACAAAGAATGTGCTTATGTGTGAATCTCATTCAGTTGTTACGTAATGTAAAGCAGGGCTCCCACTTAGCCGAGTTGGAGCCTCGAGTTGTGGCGAGTTTGAACTCGCGTAAACTCACGTGAACTCGCGTAAACTCACGTGAACTCGCTTGAAATTTACTTATTTGTATGGTATTTGCATGAATTATCATACGACGCATTATCGAGTTCCCTACGATGGATGCACGAGTCACGCGAGCTCGGTATGAGTTGCGATGACTTGTGTACGACTTGTACCGATCTACCAATAAGTTATCAATATCTTCCAAGAAGTGATAAAAGTTTTCAACAATTCATATGCGATCAAGGGACGGGAAATACATCATTTTGGCCAGGAGCGGCCAAGCGACTTCCGAAGTTGGAGGGGGAGGGGGCACCAAGAAAAAAGGGCACCTGTAAAAGGGAAATCTCAAAGCGAAAATGTGTCCCTCTTGCGGCCTAAATCAAATTAATGCAGAATATTGCAGGAACTATGAATGTGTCACGTGTGTCTTATCTGTGAAATGTATAGTTTGCAGTGTCCTAAAGTATTCAAATTATGCAAGAAAACCCGTTTTAATTCCTAGACTTTACTTTCAGACACTATTGAGTGACAGCCTGACTTTTATTTTCTTTGGAAATAACATTCATAAAATGAGCTGTAAGGGGAACATGAGCATTTTGTTTTACACATCAATAACCCAATTCTTTTAATAGCCAAAATTAAGCAAATTGAATCTTTGCGCAGCACAAAACGTACGATCAAACGATACTAAAAACCAGACTATTTTCTACGCATAATTTTCAAAACGTGTTGCGAAAATTCCTAACGGTCGATATAATTCCACATATCAAAAAGGCAATTGCCAGTTCTAATCTTTTCAGGGAAGTGTTCAGTACCTCTTGTTTATGATGGGATTCACATGCAATTATATTTTCAGCCTGCAAATGGAAAACACACCACCTGAGTGTGTACTATCATTTTGTTGGTATTAATGAAGAGCAAAGGAAACGTGCACAGAGTTCTTGGTATTCAGGGGAATTTTAGATATGAAAGGTGTTAGTATTGGGGGTGTAAATATTAATAATTTTCGTTATGCTGATGACACTATACTTTGCGCAGAGAATGAAGCAGATTTAAAACATGTATAGGATATTATAAAAGTCAAAAGTGAAGAGTTTGGTCTAAGCATGAATGTCAAGAAAACTAAGTCAATCATTTTTAGTAGAACAGAGAATAAGCCTAGAATATGTTTGAAACTCGATGGACATATCATTGAGCAAGTCAGTAATTACATCTACTTAGGACAAAATATCACAGATGATGCAAAGTAGTTATAGCTGTGAGTTCCGGGACGGTCATAGGTTTTGTACACGAATTTTTTCGTACCTATACTATTTCTAATTGACTCGTGTACATTAACTTTGACATAGTCTATTTTGGGAGAAAAAACGGACTTATAACACGGGTGTCTATGGGGTTTTGACGAGGTCCTGACTTTTTTCATTTAATTAGGGATTTGTCATTTTGGACTTGTAAATTTTTTCGAAAAAAACTGAATTATAACACGTGTGTCTATGGTAGTAAGACTTTATGAATATGACTTAGAGACTTTTCATTATCATCTAGACTTACAATTTTTTCGAGAAAAAAGTGACTTTTAACACTTGTGGTTATAAGTCACTTGTGACTCCCACGTCAAAAAATCAGAATGTCCATACTTTCATTAATCTCGACTTTATGTCCACACTTTCACCAATCTCGACTCTCATACTTTCATCAATCTCGACTCTCGACTCTCACACTTTCACCAATCTCGACTTTATGTCCACACTTTCACCAATTTCGACTCTCATACTTTCACCAATCTCGACTCTCGACTCTCATACTTTCACTAATCTCGACTCTCGACTCTCATGCTTTCACCAATCTCGACTCTCGACTTTATTTCATACTTTCACCAATCTCCACTCTCGACTCTATTTCATACTTTCACCAATCTCGACTATTCGTCTCTCTCACGAGTATATGACTTTCTTTCTCCATCAACAGTTCTTGTCTCACTATTACCTTTATGACTTTTACAAAAGAAGCTTTGACTCCATAGTTATCCGTTTTTGATAACGTTAATTATAATAATAGTATACGCTGCAAGGTATATGAGAAACGCAAGGTATTCACTGCAAGGTATTCACTGCAAGGTATTTACTGTAAGGTACATGAGAATCTTAAGTTATTTACTGCAATGTATTTACTGCAAGGTACATGATAATCGCAAGGTATTTACTGCAAGGTACATGATAATCGCAAGGTATTTACTGCAAGGTACATGTATTTACTGCAAGGTATATGAGGATCGCAAGGTATTTACTGCAAGGTACATGAGAATCTTAAGTTATTTACTGCAAGGTATTTACTGCAAGGTACATGAGAATCGCAAGGTATTTACTGCAAGGTATTTACTGCAAGGTATATGAGGATCGCAAGGTATTTACTGCAAGGTACATGAGAATCTTAAGTTATTTACTGCAAGGTATTTACTGTAAGGTACATGAGAATCTTAAGTTATTTACTGCAAGGTATTTACTGCAAGGTACATGATAATCGCAAGGTATTTACTGCAAGGTATTTACTGCAAGGTACATGAGAATCGCAAGGTATTTACTGCAAGGTAAATTAGAATCTTAAGTTATTTACTGCAAGGTATTTACTGCAAGGTATTTACTGCAAGATATATGAGGATCGCAAGGTATAATCATATATACAACATAAATAATAATCATAAATATACAAGATAAATTTACAAAATATAAAATCAAATATGTAATACAACAGTATAAAAGTTAATGAGATGAAAAAACAGTATTCATGAAATGAGATCAAGAAAAAGACTCTTAAAAACATGAAAGATAGTTCATTATTAAAAGCCATAAGGAATGGTATCTAGATCATCCAAGAGAATCCGTTTATCATACACGAAACGATGTGTTTTCGATTCGTTTCGTGATACAATTGATCCTAATTTATCCCTTGCAATCTTTTCTTTGTTGTGTACAACATCGATTTCATCATGAATGTGGACCATGCGAAGAATACTTGAAAAATTGATTTGGTCCACATTGCTACAATTTAGTGTTATACTTCTAACTTTACATGTACCGGGGACCTCTTTTTGCTGTTTACTGGACCATACTTTATAACTATATTGTTTAGGTCCAGCACTGACAAACCTGGTGATATAACTTCCAGAACCGAAATACTTTTCAAGTTCATCAGTCATATCACCAAGATAGTTTCCCGTCTGCACACTGGGAACAGTTCCATCATCCAGATAGATGATGGAATCTGTGTCATAATATAACACATTACATTGTAATTCCTCCAAATACGAATAGAGTTTCAAACGTACATAACATGTTGTAAATGCAGCTATGACAACATTCGTATTTGGAAGAATGTCAATGAAGTCACCCACATTATCGTATTGGATACGCACCATCTGATCTGACACAAAATGAACGTCTATGATGATGATCGTCTAATCAGTCAACATATCGAAAAAGTCGGATGCTTTTGTAAGGTATTTTGTCTGCGTCAAGTTACTCCTTTGACCGAACTTACCGTAGAACGAATTGAGACAAAACTTTGCTACAGTTCTCAATCCCTTATTGACTTTGATATTATCGGGATTGAGTTGTACACCTTCGTGTTCAAAGTAAGACTCCACATACGCTCTTCGTGCATCCTTTATTTCCGAGGATTCCAACGTTTGATCAGATGTCGGTATACAATCAGAAGGCCAACCACTGGACTCTTGTTTGACTTTGAGAAATGTGTTTATAAAGTATGTAAACAGACCTCCAGTGTGTTCTTCGGCATCGTATTGTGAGTTCTTTTTGAAATTCCAAACTTCAAAAATCTCAACAATACGATACCCTAAACTAAGTGCCTTCTTAATTTCTTCCGTTACCCATGTACCGGTAATGTGGCGTTCTTCTTCAGAATGTGTACATTTATCTAACTTCTTTTCACAACAACTACGACATAGAGGGAAGAATAATTTGTTATTATAACGATATGGAAGAACAGGATGATATAAAGCTCTAGGAGGAGATACTGTACACTGAATCAAACCAAAATATTCAGTGGGAGATTTGAAATTTTTCGTTATAATCTCTGGATGACCGATGGGAAAATTTTGGTATTTGCATACCCATGGATATAGACTACAAACATCCACATATCTTATTTTATCATCCCCTTCTACCTCCCTGTGTAACTGAGTAGCATTCGTACGTCCACCATAGTACGCTTTCCTAGGGTTCAAAGGTTCAATGTTAGTGAACTGGTCCGTGAACATTTTGAGTTCATCACTTTCATTAATTTCCTTTCTGAAATCACATTCCCATGTGGTAATCATCTTATAGCCAATGGATCTTAAATAGAATTCTCGCTGTAATGTGTTATCGTACACATCCTGAACAGTATTTTTACTCCCAGGAACGAGAGTATCTCGACGGACGTAACATCGAGGGCATCCATGCCATAGACATCCATTGATATATTCCAGATATATATATGTATATATGTGTATATATATATATATATATATATATATATATATATAGCTTTCGACCCTTTGTTTCCTACAATAGAACCTTCACGATCTAACATGGAAGACGGCACCTCTACACCATCGACATCACGAAAGTCCTTGAGAAATCGTCTTTCCAGGCGTGCAAATATCCAGAGAAATGCAAGACGTAAACACTTTCTTCAAACGCGTCAAATAAGTGATGGATCAGATTTAGATGATGTGAGTAATCCATATTTATGATGTTATATTCCAAGAATACTGAGGAGTAATGAAAATACACGTCTTCTCACTACGGGCTTTTTTAAAGTGTGTTGAACATGACCTTCGCGTCACTAGCAACCGTCGCGAAGGTCATTCTATAGATATGCAAATTACTTCTATTGTTCCAAACCTCGATCAAGAACATGTACGAATTACCGTTATCAAAGATTAAGGTTGTTTAAGATATATTTAAATACATTCAAGGTCACTTATTCAATCACTTTTTTTCTACGAACATTGAATTCCAGGATATTTGTGGGCGTTAGAATATTTACATGATTAAGAAATCGTCGACGGTCAACGAACCATCGAATCGGTCCCTCCTATGTTTTTTGACTGATTCGTCAGTTCATGTGACCACCGACCAATCATTTATTTGTGACGTGTTGTATCCACATAAATGTAATAATGTAATTTATTTTTAAAATGAAAAAAAAAGAGGAATAAGATGGTGGGTCTTAGTTTCGAAGATTTGTTTAAATTTCTATTTCCTTTGAAATAACCGGGTCTGGAGGAAAGACTACGCTCTATACCCATGTTATTCCACCGGAATGAGATGGTGAGGTCTTAGTTTGAAGATTTTTTTTTTTAAATAACCGAGTCTGAAGTAAAGACTACGTTCTAATCCCATGCTTGAAACAATGAAACATCATCCCCCCCCTACGGGAAACGCAAACTCTATTATCAAAAACATTTGTGTGTTACCTGAACAACAGATATCATGAAACTATTCTTCATCGCCTAAGAATGGGAAACTTAGGTTTAAATAATAATCTTTTTGAGTTGAATCAACATGAGACAGGTCATTGTCCAAACTGTGAGCACCAAAAAGAAACAGTTAAACATTTTGTATGTAAGTGCCCACTCTTTCTTATAGAGAGAGCCATGCTTATAACAGAATCTGGAATAGAAAACGAAGAATTAATCCCAATACTCCTGAAATCAACAGATATTAATCACCAACAGGCTCTGGTTAACTTCGTAGTTAGATCTAAAAGGGTACACCTGTACCCCTACTAACCACCTTGCACCGCACATAATTATTTGAGCCCAATATGTTTCGCTTTTTATAGTGAGTATACATGTACATGAAGAAGAAGAGTGAGAAAGAAGAAAAAAAAGAAGAAAAAAAGAAATTAGAAGAGAGAACTGTCTATATTAACGTTTAAAATCTTCATGTATCATGATCTGTTTTTGTTTTTTTTTGGTTTTCGGTCAAAATTTTGAAGAAACACGGTGGAGACGACTAGACATATTGGTGGACGTCGGAGGGCCTAGGCTCAGCATTAGGCTGAGTTGAGAAGCTTGTCACTACGTACCGTGTCCGAGTTGGTCCTTGGGCGTCCTATATAGCCGATAAGCCTTTTGCTCGCCAGCCACTGAATTCTTCATCATTAAATAAAAGTTTAGCTTTTAAAAATCCAATTTATCCAAATCTATATATCAAAAAAAGTAAATCTAATTTTAAAGGAATAAAAATCCTGAGAGAAGAGGCGTAAATATTCACTTCTGAATGAAAAACGCCTATAAATTAAAACAACAACAAAACAACAAGCTTTATTACCGGGTCTTAATTTGGAAGATGGAGGGGTCTTAGTTAAAAAGGTTTTTTTGTTGCTTTGCTTTGTTTTGTTTTGTTTTTTGTTTGTTTTTTAACTTTTGAAAAACCGGGTCTGGAGGAAAGACTACGCTCAATACGTATGTTCTTCCACAGGAATAAGATGATGGGGTCTTAGTTTTGAAGATTTTTTAAAAAAAGTTTTAAAATAACCGGGTCTGGAAGAAAAACTACGCTCTAAACCCATGCTTTATTACCGGGTCTTAGTTTGGAAGATGGTGTGGTCTTAGTTTTGAAGATTTTTTTAATTTTTTGAAATAACCGGGTCTGGAGCAAAGACTGCGCGCTATATCCATGCTTTATTACAGGGTTTTAGTTTTAAATTCGACAAAATATCCCTTTAAATTTATTACATTAGTGGGTAAAGTCATTATTACATTTGTGGGTGATTCAAAATTATTACATTTGTGGGTAAAGTGGTTATTACATTTGTGGGTGAAATTATTACATTAGTGGGTAAAGTGTTATTACATTTGTGGGTGTTGTTACATTTGTGGGTAAAGTGTTATTACATTTGTGGGCGTTATTACATTTGTGGGTGTAACACCCCCCCCCCCCACATCGTTGGATGCTCGAAATCGATGTTCATCTACGTAATGAAAGCAGAGCAAAGAAAACACACACAATTAAATGATTGAGATATTTAATCAATTTTGAATGGAAAATTGAATGGAAATAACTTATTTCCATCATCACAGTCATAGACCAAAAAGATGGATAAAATGGATGACAAAGATAAAATGATTGTTTTACAGAGTGAACGGTATTACAAAAATACATATAAAGTGACATTATTACAAGTACATATCATGTAACCATATTACAAATAGAAAATGAAATGCTATGCTGATAAGGCTTGATCATTCAATGCACACCATGCGCATTGGAGATAAAGATATTGGTTAGACCTACAAATAAAGAAAACTGGATTGATTTTGATCGAATATCAAATTGTATTTACCAAGAACGGGTCGTAAAACCTATCGGGGTTCTGGTGTTTGGACCGAATCCCACTTCCCTTTTATTAAAAATCCATTTGACTTTCCTTAAGTATCAAACTAACACATCTGCCTCCGCCCTAGCCATTTCAAGGTTTTTTTTTTTTTAAATAGGTTTTGTTCACCTTAATATCTCCAATTCTCATTCAAAATATATACTTTCTTTCATTATAGTTTTAAGATGTCCCTTTATGAAATTTGGTGCAATTTGAATATGACTGTGCTATACAGTGCGTATGAAAAAAAGCATTCCCAACCCTTGATATACTCCCATTATA